GTCTTTAGTAGGGTTTTTAAGTATATAAAATTACGGCATCAATAAGCAGTGGCAATTTCACTTTTTTTTTTTTTTTAGTTGGATGCCTTACCTTTCTCTCACCTAATTACTCTACAAGAACTTCCATTATTATGTTGAACAGTAGTGACAAGAATGGCATCCTTGTTCTAGATATTAGAGGAAAGGCTTTTAAATTTTCACCATTGAGTATAAGGTAGCTGTGGTCTTCTCATATATGACCTTTATTTTATTGAGGTACATTCCTTGTATACCTAATTTGGCGAGAGTTTTTATTATAAAATGATGTTGAATTTTTCAAATGCTTCTTCTGAATCTAATGAGATGATCACATGGTTTTTGTTCTCTAGTCCGTGAATGTGATATATTACGTTTATTAGTTTTTGTGTGTGTGGCCCTCTTTTTGTCTCCCGGGTATATCTCCTTTTTTCTTGTTGTGTGTTCTTTTTTGCGTATTTTTTTGTTTTGTTTTTTCTTGTTTTTTTTGGTTTTTTTTGCTTTTTTTTTCCCCAAGGTTTTTGCCTTTTATTTTTTTTTTTTTGTAGGGTCCTTGTCTGGCTTTGCTATCAGGGTAATGCTAGCCTAATGAAAAGAGTTTGAAAATATTTTCTCCTCTTCAACTTTTTGGAAGAGTTTGAGAGTTTGAGGAGGATTGGAATTAGTTCTTTAAATGTTTGATATAATAGCACTCAACAGTGAATCCATCAGGTCCTGGGCTTTCATTTGATGGCTTTTAAATTACTGGTTCATTCTTATTCATTATTCCTATTCAGCTTTTTCACTGCCTCATGATTCAGTCTTGGTAGGTTTTATGTGTCTGGAAGCTTATCCATCTCCTCTGTGCTATTTAACTTGTTGGCATATATTAATAATTGTTCATAGTGTCTCTTACAACCCTTTGTATTTCTGTGATATCCATTGTAATGTCTTTGTTTTACATTCCTGATGTTATTTATTTGAATATTCTCATTTTTCTTAGTTAAGCTAGCTAAATATTTTCAGTTTTGTGCATCTCTTCAAAAAAAAATTCTAAATTTTGTTAATCTTTTGTATTATTTTCCTAGTCTCTATTTTATTTATTTCTGTTCTAATCTTTATTATTTCCTTCCATAATGTTGTGTATTTTTTGAGATCTTTCTTCTTTCTTAATGTAGATATTTATTACTATAGCTTTTCTCTTAGAACTGCTTTTGCTCCATCCCATATGTTTTGGTATATGGTATTTACGTTTTCATGTCTCAGTGTATTTTTTAATTTTCCTTTTAATTTTTTTATAGACCCGTTGGTTTTTCAAGAACATGCTGTTTAATTTCCATATATTTGTGAATTTTCCAATATTTCTTATTTTATTGTTTTCTAGTTTTCTACCATTGTGGTCAGAAAAGATACTTGATATGACTTTAACCTTCTTAAATTTGTTGAGGCTTGTTTTTGTGTCCTAATATGTGCCCTAATCTAGAAAATACTCTGTGTGTGCTTGAGAGGAATGTGTATTACATTGCTGTTGGATAGTGTCGATGCTGATGTATAAGGTCCGTTAGGTTCATTTTGTCTAAAGTGTTGTACATGTTTGTTGTCTCCTTATTAATTTTCTGGTTAAATGATCTGTCTGTTGTTGAAAGTGGATATTGAGGTTCCCTACTATTTTTGCCTTACATGTATCTCTCCTTTCAGATCCTTAAATATGTGTTGTATTGAAGTTCGCTACTATTTTTGCCTTACATTATGTTTTTCCTTTCAGAACCTTAAATGTTTGTTGTTTTTATTTAGTTGCTCCAATGTTGGGTGCATTTATATTTACAATTGTTATATTTTCTTGATGACTTGACCCCTTTATCATTATACAGTGTTCTTTGTCTCTTTTTACAGTTTTTGACTTAAAGTCTATTTTGTCTGATGTAAGTGTAGCTACTCCTGATCTCTTTTAGTTTCCATTCACATAGAATATGTTTTTCCATTCCTTCACTTTCAGTTTATATGTGTTCTTAAAAGTGAGGTGAGTTTCTTGTTTGCAGCATATAGTTGGATCTTTAAAAAAAATCTATTCATTCCCTCTTTTTGTTGAAGAATTAATCCTTTTACATTCAACATAATTACTGATAGGTAAAGAATTGCTACTGCCACTTTATTAATTGTTTTCTGCTTTTTTAGATACTGTGTTTCTTTCTTCTTCTCTTATGGTCTTCCTTGTGGTTTCATTGTTTTATAGCTGCTGGCTGGGTACTGTGATGGCTTCTAATCACATCATTCATAGGTTGTATTTCCTGGCCAGACAATTATGATATTTGGTATCTTAAGTTCAGCAGCACTTCAGGCTGGGCTCCAAGGTTAGGTAGACAGGCAAGATAAGAGGCTATGCTCCTTAGAAATGTGCAGCTGAGGATCACCTTCCTGAGAATGGAGCCATGCGGTTGGCTTTGGCTGAAGTGAGCAGCTGTTTGACCTTCCAGGTCAACTGGTACTAACTCTGATGCTTCTCCAAAATGCACTGAGGTGAAAGTTTCCCTGCCTGGGTAGGTCATTGGCAGGCATTTTGGCTGAGTGGAGCCACTGCTTGACTTCCTGGATCAATTAAATCTAGCCTTTATGTTTCTTTAGGATGGGCAAAGGCAGTCATCTACCTGCCTTGGTTGGGTCACTGGGTTGGTCTCTGAGTCTAGGCATGGAATCTAGCTATCTAGGAACTTAAGCTAGACTGAACTTCCCCAGGTGGTTCTGAAGACCAGCTCAGCTTGTTTGGGGCCATGAAGTTGGCTGCTGTTTCCCATAGGATGCCACAGCTGGCAGAAACACAGAGATATCATCAAGGTCCACGTGCTGATCACTGTGACTTCTGCATCCTTTCTTTGTTTCTACCTAAGCTGGTGCAGTCTAGTTGTCCTGGTATCCTCAGTGTTCCCCATGACAGGAGACTGGAGTGAGCTTTCCTGGGAAGCATCTTGAAATGCTAGGGAAGATGGATGACTGCATCTGGTTCTCTTTCCCCTTATAGAAACCATGGCCCAGGAAAATTCTCTCCATCTGGCTTTGTGTCCTCTTTTGAGGGAGGGGAAGGGGTGGCATAGTTAAATTGAGATCATTCTTCTTACCCATCCAATTTGGTTTTCATTCAGTTCTATGGACCATGTAGGTGTCTCAAGTTTGTTTACAAGTATTGGAGCCTTTAGAAAGACATCCTAGTCTGTGGATAATTGCTAGTTGAACTTTAGTGGGAGTAGAGTCTGAGACTTTCTACCCTGCCATCTTGCTGATGTCACTCCTCTAGGCTTTAAGTATTCAGTTCTGGAGGCTAAGAAGGCCACGATCAAGGCACTGGCAAAGTCAACGTCTGGTGAAGACTTGCTTTCTGCTTGTGGCTACGTCCTCACATGGCAGAAGGCAGAAGAGTAAAAAGACCTGATTTTTATATTTTAATTTTTTAATATTTTGGCTTACTTTTTTCTCAACATTTTAATCAGATTTAGTTTTGCCTTGTTTATTATTTATTTATGTATTTGTTACCATTTTTTCATTGTTTCTTTTATCTCTTTCTTTCTCTCCTTCCTTTTCTTTTCTCTTTTCTCTTTTCTTTTCTTTTCTCTTCTTCCTGTCTTTTCTTTCTTTCTTGTCTCTCTCTCACCCAGGCTGCAGTGCAGTGGCACAATCTCAGCTCACTGCAGCCTCAACCTCCTGTGCTCAAGCAATCCTTCTGCCTCAGCCTCTTGAGTAGCTGGGACTACAGCTGTGCACCACCATACCCAGCTAATTTTAGTATTTTTTATACAGACAGAGTTTACCATGTTGCCCAGGTTAGTCTCGAACTCCTGGGCTCAAGCGATTCAACTGCCTTGGCCTCCCAAAGTGGGAATACGGGTGTAAGCCACTGCATTCAGCCTATTTGTTTTACTATGAAGTTCTTAATTTATTCCATAACCTTCTAATCTCCTTTTTTTCTCTTGCCTTTTTTATATTCTTGATTTTGTTTCTGTTCCTTGTCAAATTTTCTTCTTTTTGTTTTTATTCCTAACTTTAAATTTTTATTTAATGGTATGTTATTATAATGGCAGACAGCAATGGGGAAGAATTCTATTGGGAGAGGAAACATGACAAACTGAGAGAATTCTCTCCAGATGTGGTTGTGAAGATAAAAGAGGTTTATATTCATGAAAACATATATACTTAAAACCACATTACAAAATGTATGTCCATTTCACCATCAACATCTTTACCTCTGTTGGGAAGATAATTCCTTTTGACTCCACAATAATTATTTATATCTATACACGGGAATGTTTCTTTTATATTTGTGTGGTTTTGGTTTTAAACATTTAGTCATAATAAGACTGCTAGAATTACTATATCATGTGCTCTCTGAAGGCAAAATTCCCATCTAATTTATCTTTCTGTTTTATCTTTCTACCTCTAAGAACTAAAACTCAATAAATGTGCATTAAAGCAGATATCCTTGGGAGAAGTGACACAGAAACTATGTATTCATGTTCTATGTCTATTGTACTTCGCTCAGGGATAAGACTGCTTTGATGAGGGCAAGTGTAGGAAGACCCTGAGGACATCTGAGAGTAAGTGATGAAGACTTAAGAAGGTGGGACAGGAAACTCAGCAAGTGAGAGTTGTCAGGAAGCAGAAAAGCAGTTGGCAAAAGCAACCACTGAAGGACTGGTTTTACCTCTTAGTTCTTCCTGGACTGGGGATAATGTAGAGGGCTTGTCTCTGTCAGATGAACTTTTGCTAGCATTTCCCAGAATCATGACTCAAAACTTGCCACTGTGTTCCCATCTGGGATTTGGAAGATTAGGTAAGAACTTGGAAGGAATTCAGGGGACACTTAGTTAAATTGGGTCAAAATGTGTCCATTCTCCAGCCTCCGTCTTGGCAGTGACACATTGGAAAATGGTTTCACTATGATTGAACAGCCAGGGAAGAGTAGAGCTTATTTATACTCTCTCTTTTCCACTTTATTTTCTCCAAACTGTGTCTTTTAGAAATAAACTATCAATCTTGCCCAGACTGGAGAAAGGACTGCAGCAACAACCCTGTTTCGGTATTCTGGAAAACGGTTTCCCGCAGGGTAAGTACCAAGCAGTGAAATTCTAGAGCTTTGGAGACCACAGAACTTAAGATGTCATCCAGTCAGTGCTTGGTTTTAACACTTTTGGATTACAGATACTTTTAGAAATGAAAATATAGGATTCATTCCTGAGAAAAAGGTTCAGAAGTACATGCCAGAAAATTTACACATCCAATTTTAGAACATTCTTAGAGGGTCCATGGGCTCCAGTTGCAGAATCTTTGTGCATACACATGGTGTCTGACTTTGGCACAAGCAACCTGGGGCTTGGTTTAATCCTCTGATTCGGGTATTAGTCAATCTTAGATTCCTGGGACAGTAGTAACAATCTACATGTATAGACCCCTTACTATGTGGCAGGTACAGTCCTCAGATATTTACATGAACTAAGAACTTGCATCTTCACCAGAACCCTGTGAAGCAGGTGCCGTGAGTATTGTGCCCATTTAACACATAACAACATGAAGGTACAAGTAAATAAGGAATCTACTAAATGTACAGAATTAGTAAGAGGCATATGTGGGAGTTTATCCCAAGCTGTCTGACTCCAGATTCAGAATCTAGGCTGGGAAATACTCACCACTCCGCCCTCTACCTATTTTTTTAAAAAACTGATACATAATAATTTTACATATTTATGGGGTATGTAGTGATGTGGTGATACATATAAGGTATAGTGATGAGATCAGGGTAATTAACATAGCTATCATCTATGGTGCTTTCTTGCTGTGTCCTCACATGGCAGAGGCAGAGGGACTAAAGGAACCTAGCTAGTTCCCTGGAGCCCTTTCATAAGGGTGTTAATCTCATTCATGAGGACAGAGCCCTTAGGGCCTAATTATCTCCTAAAGGACTCACCACTTATTAGCATCACGTTGGTCTTAGGTTTCAACATAAGAGACACATACATTTAAATCCTAGCAGCGTATCTGTGACAAGCCTTGAAGTGCGTTCCTCTGTCATTCCCATTGAGTCATCCTCATAGGTAGTATGACAAATCCCCACATTAAAGGTGAAGAAACTAAGACTCAGAAGTTAAGTGACTCATCCAAGTTCCCTGGGCTAACAAGTTGCAGACCCAAGAGCCTAACCTAGGTCTTCTTGATTCCAAAGCCATGCTCTTCAATTTTGTTCTTTGAATCTGCTTATTGGTTCTGTCTTTTACAGGACAGGTTTGATCTTAACTCTAGGTTGGTACCTAGCTAAACCTGTGTCTTAGGGGGATTTATGTAAACCCTGGTATGATGGAAACAGAAAAACAGCCTGGAAGTTGTAAGGTTTAGACTTGGGCAGATTCCTTTACTCATTCTGATCTTCCGATTCCTCATTTGTCAAATGGAAATCAAAATTTGCCTGTTCCATAGGGTTACTGCAATGTTTAAATGAGATACCACTATCCTATAATGTAACTCAAAATCCACCCACTTCGAAAATAGTTTATTGAGTACTTACTATGGATAGTGGACAGTCATGGGTACTTTATAGTTTTTGTTTGGTTTTTCTGAGAATAGTTTCCATTTCACTACTCTATGGTATGTTTTAGGACAGTGCTGGTGCTAAAATCTTTTAAAGCCAAGTCACGTTTTATGTGTATCAAGAACCTCCTTGTGTTCCCCACTCAGTCCCTGGCACTAGGAATACAGAGTTGCATGTGATTGAAGGCGTCCTGCCCTTGTGAGCTACCAGCACCTTTATTTTGCCAATCACTCATGGACATACGTGGATGGCCTTCTTTTTTCAGACTTATCCCTTTCTTTTTCTGATAACAGAGGCAGGGTTTTTTGTTTAATTTTTAATTTTTGTGGGTAGGTTAAACCCATCATTATAATACAATACAGTTGGATAATGTGGAGGGAATGTAGGATGCTGTCAGAGTCAGAGAAGGGGACCTGAGCTAGTCCCAGGGGTTGGGGAGGCCTCCTGGAGGGAGCATATAGAACACTTTATTTTGTTCATTTCATTTTTTCCAAAGTCTAACAAAGATTCCTGCTGAATGTTTCTTGCATGAAGAAATAAGACTCTTTGCTCAAGCATATTTATTCATTCATTTATTCAGCCCTCCTTTCTCTCTGTGCTTTTCCAGGCCTGAGGGTCCCCTGTTCTCTCCTCAGTTTTCCCTTTTGTGGTGTTCCCATTTCCCTTATCCCTGAATCATCCACCTGCTCCCACTAAATGAAGCATAGTGTCTGCAGTGCATGACACTGAGAAAACACTTTCATCTTCCCCCTCTAGACATTCTTCTTATTCATTTGGACTTCTGACTTCTGAACCACTGAACCACCAGCTCTATGAACTGTCACACTGAACATTGTTCACTTACAGATTGGAGCAACTGCTTCAAGAACTCTGATATGAACCATAATCTGTCCAGTGGCTTGGAATGAAAATTGTGTAGACCTGACATTCCTGTGCTAAAACCATATAGAATATCCTTCCTTAACCAGCTATTGCTAAGTATTGTTTTGAATGAAACTGCTGGAGGTTTGTGATTAAGTTTGCATGATGAATGGTGAGCTTTTTTTTTTTTAAGTTTGCAGAAACTGCCTGTGGTGTGGTCCATGTGATGCTCAATGGATCCCGCAGTAAAATCTTTGACAAAAACAGGTAACACATTTATTTTGCATCTTGTTTGCAAGTGTCATGCTGCAAATATCACAGTGGATATTTTATCTCTAGAAAGAATATGTTTTTCATGTTTCAGGTCAGTTCTGAAGATTTGGGCTAAAAAAGGTAAAAATTTTGAATTCTGTGGAGAGAGTTGTCTTCTAAGTCAATGTGTTTGTCTGATTTCTCCTTTGCCAAAAATCATCTACCAGGTTCTAATGACCACTGCACTATATCTAGCCCCTGCTCTTAACTTTTCCAGTCCTGGTGTAATTTTATCAGCTTTCTCTGCCGTTACACTCCACCCTACCTGTTGCTCACCATTGTTCACACAGTTCCCCCATATGACCTACTTCCCCTGCTCCCTTCTGTCTAAATCCTCGCCATCCATGAAGACCTGCCTTGACTCTCCTCTCCTCCAGGAAAATTGTGTACCCCAGTTCAGTAGTAAAACTACTACTGGGAAATTGGGAACTGTGCTGGGCTCTTGGCCTTCACTATCTTTTTGCAGACATTGTCAGCAATGTACTGTGGTGGTTAAAAGCAATTACTAGAGGTCATTACATACTATCTGTGTGACCTTAAGCAGGGCAGTCAACCTCTGTGAGCCCCTGTATATGTACCTGAAGAGTTGATGGTGATGGGAAGATTAACTGAGACAACAGATGAAAATTGCTGAGCTCTGTGCCTGACAGCAGAGAAAGTGCTCAATGCGAATCAGCTATTATTCTCATTTAAAAATGATCCTCGCCACTGAATCTGGCCACACCTGTGCCTTTCTTGTCTGATCTCCTTCTATACTTACAGTTTTTACTACACTGATTGCCTTTTTGGCCTTTGTTCTCTAATTTTTGTTCTCTAATCCCACCTAAGGCTGACTGAAAGGAGGAAGCATATATTAATTTGCCTTGTAAACTCTAGGTGCCCCAAATTAATTTTTCTTCTCTCCTGTTTTAATATTTAATTCTACAAGGAAGCATTTATCCTTTTGTCTTCTGATCCCAAATTTTTTGGGTAAAAGCATTAACATTGCAGAATTTTATAATCTGATGTTGTGGTTCAAGTACTTGCAACAGGAGTGTCAGTTGTCAGAGACTAACAGGGAAGAGTTTAGGAATGGGATTAGGGCAGGCCACAATAGTCTTTCAAAGCATTGCCTCTCAAACTTCACTGAGCATATGAATCATGTGGGGATTGTTTAACTGCAGATCATTTCAGCAGGTGGTGGTGGCTGAAATTCTACATTTCTTTCTTTCTTTTTTTTGTTTTTTGAGACGGAGTCTCGCTCTGTTGCCCAGGCTGGAGTGCAGTGGTGTGACCTCGGCTCACTGCAAGCTCTGCCTCCCGGGTTCACGCCATTCTCCTGCTTCAGCCTCCCTCAGCTGGGACTACAGGCACCCGCCACCACACCCGGCTAATTTTTTGTATTTTTAGTAGAGACAGGGTCTCACCCTGTGTTAGCCAGGATGGTCTTAATCTCCTGACCTCATGATCTGCCTGCCTTGGCCTCCCAAATTGCTGGGATTACAGGTGTGCGCCACCGCGCCTGGCCGAAATTCTACATTTCTAATGAGATCCCAGGTGATGTTCATTAGGTCGGTCTAAGGACCACTCTTCGAATAGCAGATATTTAAAGAATCAACATTAATGCACAACTTAAGAATTTTATTTTGAGAATCTTGTTAACCAAGGGTCATGCTGAATAAGAAAAGGTTATTGATTTGCAATTTGATGCGTCAACTCCAAAGGATAGGTCCTAGCCAGTGCCTTTCTGCCTGCTGGTTTTTAAGTGGGGGCGTGGATGCTTTTGTTTGGGGTTGACGTTTGCGGTTCTTTGTTTCTTCTGTTTTAGCACTTTTGGGAGTGTGGAAGTCCATAATTTGCAACCAGAGAAGGTTCAGGCACTAGAGGCCTGGGTGATACATGGTGGAAGAGAAGATTCCAGGTATATCTTACTACTTTGTACCCAAGGGTTATTTTATGAATCAGTCCACAAAAGAATCCACAGTCACAAGAACGCATTGGGAACAAACTGACTCAGGAAATGAATGTACGTGAATCTCAACAGTCTCTTAACTTTATCTCCACAAACAATATTTAACTGCTTGACATTTCAGCTCCCCTGCTGACCCAGGAGCTCTTAGAGGCGGGGCCTCTACTTTGCCTCTTTATCCAAGGGCCTTGTCCAGGGCCTGCTACAGAAACAGAGAGACTCCAAAAATGTTTGTGAGATCTTGTAATTTTAATACTTTCTTCTTTCTTCCCCAGAGACTTATGCCAGGATCCCACCATAAAAGAGCTGGAATCGATTATAAGCAAAAGGAATATTAGATTTTTCTGCAAGAATATCTACAGGTAATTAATTTCTTCTTGAATGAAAAAACGACTGTCTTGTCAACTGTAGAATGTCCTTTATTCCTCAGCCTCCTCTGAGCTTGGAGGGCTGTGTGAATCTTTCTTGGGCCTTGATGATGATCACAGATGGCAACCTCTGGTGATCTCTGTCCCTCCTTCCAAGCCTAGTCCGGAAGGTATCCTAGCTAGTGGCCTTCACTTGGCCGCCTTTCCTCATCCGTCTCTACTGGTCCCAAGTAGGACTTGCCTCTAAGGCTGACACCACCTTTGACGGCATATTTTCTGATTCCCAGTGTGAGTGGCCCAGCCCAGGGTTCACTGGCCTACTAGGTTTCAGGGGAGAAAGGGAATGTTTTGCTAAGCCCTTTCTTCCAAGTTGTAAAATGCTTGTGATTTGACATCATTTTGCATGTGACGCTTCCTTAGTTGGATCTGAGCACAGATGCCTAACACCTGATAAGGTGTCACATGGCAGTCTACCAAGATCTATCTTTTTTAAATTAAAAAAAATTTAAAAATTGTTTCTAATAATTTGCATTTATTAGAAAACAGTTTAAAATTACAGATAGATATATATTTCTAAAAGTCACCTATAATTCTAGTTTCAAAACTGAGACCCCTCACTCACTTTTAAGCAGTTGTGACCAATGGTGTAGGTAGGGACTCATTGGTAGAAGCATCTTTGGAGATTTTCCCACATGTAATAGCTTGGAACAAGATTGATGCAGAGAGAGGAAAAGCTGTTCAAAGGAGGTAGAAGCTGAGATGCTAGAATATTGTTCCTGTCTCCATGTCACTACCTTCTCCCACTAACCATATCAAAAAAGCAGAAAGATAGATTTTGGGGACTCTACTGATGGCTTTTGTTTCCCAAATGACCGGAATTCTCCATCAGTCAGCTTGCTCCTATCTGGAAACTGCCAGAAAAGGCCATGAGCATTCTACAGCAGTTACACAGGAAAACAGAAAGAATGTATGAAGGAGCAAGTGTAAAAGAAATCTTGCAGATATCTGACCAGTCTAAGCTGTTCAAAGATATGTTGCATGGAGAAAATAGAATAGTAGAAACCTAGACAAAGGCTGGAAAATAAAGATGGTCTTATCCCCAATACTCTTTTATCTTTTTTGTCTTATTAAACATTAACCTTTTTCTCATAAATGGCCAGAAGACTTTTATATTATAATTCATCACCTCCCCTCTTTTGTGTCTGCTGTAGGCTCCAAGTGAGCTCACTCATTCTCCATCTGGAAAGAAAATATGGGCATGGCTTCCATTTGGACTTGTACAGACAGTGGCCCATATGGGAACCAGGTCATTTATAAGCCAACATTTGTTATTCAGAGCATCAGATCATGTGATTTTAAACTTGGGGATCATCTTTGAAATCACTGCTCCTTTTCTCTGCCCATGAAGTTGTAATATAGTCAGTATGACTCTTTGAATGACTGGACTGGCAGGAGCCCTTGTGGTGTCTAACTGCCGTGTGGCTTTGAAGAACAGTTGTTTGTCTCTAGGGGAGCCCAGGGTGAATGTCATGGATACAGACATAGATTGTAGTTTAAATCTCTCCATCCCAAACACACCTTCTAATTTTAGCAAACTTCTGTCTAGCTGTTTTGGTGTGATTATTTAATAACTAAACAGAAGTATAATTAAATATATATGTATATATATATTATATATGTATATAATATATGTGTGTATATATTATATATGTATATATATTATATATGTGTGTATATATTTTATATATGTGTATATATATAAAGACCTATATAGGTTAGACTTCCTAATGCCTCTAATATTGACCCCTTAATAAATTTCATCACTCAGAGACAAACACTATTAACATGTATATTTCCAAGACTCTTTTTTTTAAAATATACACACTCATGGTCCTGATACGATGTATATGGAATTTCTTAACACATGTTTATATGTTTTAACCAGTGGAATGAACAGAAGGTAACAATACTTTTTTTGGATATCATAAAATTAGCAAACGGTCAGCGTCCTTTATCTGGCTAGTGCCCTCTAGTGGCGCTTAAAAAAAAAAACCCTAGAGGGTACATTAATTCTTTTATGTTGCTTCAAAACACAGGGCGCGTCCATTTTATGGGGATATTGGATATGAATACTTACATGGTCATGGAGAGAGATCATCTTGACAGCATAATTGCTACTTCTTTTCCAAAACTGAATTCCCAATTAGAAACTAGAGTTAATAAACATACTCACATTCTCCTCATTTAATATAAAGCAAAGGTAGCTTCAAAAATCCTAAATAGTCTTAGAAAGATTTCTTTTCTATAGCAGCATTTCCTTAATAAAGAGGATACTTTGTGTTCCTAGGATGTCTTCATGTGGGGATCCCAGGTTACCGTATTGGTGAGGATGGAGTAAGTCTATACTTAGAGCTGCTGTGTCCAGCTGGTCATAACAGTTGACTAGGGATGGGCCTGAGGCGATCCATCACAAGGGCAGGTTCTGACACCTCTTCCTTCCAGAAGCCCAGGGGTGCTGGCAGCTGCTTCTGAGGATCTCTCTCTTCCTTGGCTCCTATTTAGCAAAATCAAATTTAAAGAACCTCATTCCTCACTATCCACCATCCCCCTATTCACGTGCCAGCCACTCCCATTGGCTCCTGTTGCTTTAGCTAATTTTTATGCAAATAAGAGTCATTCGCCTGGTAGGTACTTATCTAAGGTTTGTTTCAAAGCAAGTTTGGTTCCCTTGCAGAGGGTCTCCAGCTTTTTCCCAGATAGTCTATAACCTCTGTCTCTGACCCTGGGTTCAATACTCAGCCTCAGGAAGCTTCTGAAGAGAGGAAAACAAATTAGCCACAGAAGCTGTGGGGGTCCCTGGCCTTGGTTGCTGCTCCTGCTGTTTTTTGACCACCAGCTGACATGGACAGCTTCCCTCCTGACATGTCACTGCAGGAGAGGAGTTTGTATGGATGCTCAGTGGTCTGTGCATCTTGTCGTCGCTAAAAAAGGGGCTTCCTCCATTAGCGAATTGGACCACAGATGTATCCTATGGCCTCTTGATTTCCTTCTTTGCTTTCTTGTCACAGACCTGACAAGTTTCTTCAGTGTGTGAAAAATCCTGAGGATTCTTCTTGCCTATCTGGGATCTGAGCCAGTTGCCATGGTGGTTTTAGCTCCTTGACTCCTTGTGGTTTATGTCAACAATACATAACTTGGCCTACTTGCTGGTGCAGAGCTGAAGATTTTGGAGGGTCCTCCACAATAAGGTCAACGCCAGAGATGGAAGCCTTTTCCCCCAAAGTCTTAAAATAACTTGTATCATCAGCATAGCTTTTATTGTGACTATCAATCGTCAAGACAAATTATTGTATAAGATTAGAATGAAAATTGTTTATTAAGTTACTTCATTTGATTCTCATGTGATCCTTTTATGTTGTTTATATGTTGGTAACATCCTTTCTACTGAAAAATGACCACACCAAACCTCTCTTACTAGAACAGTCAAGTGAAGAAAAATGAATGCTCAAGTTTTTCAGAAAGCATTACATTTCCAAATGAATGACCTTGTTGCATGATGTATTTTTGTACCCTTCCTACAGATAGTCAAACCATAAACTTCATGGCCATGGGTGATGTTGGTGAAAATTACTCTGTAGGATATAAGCTACCCATATACTTGGTGCTTTACCTCTAACCCTTCCAACAGTGCTGTGAGGTTGGTATTATTTCATTTTTTAGATGAGAAAATAGGAACTCAGAGAGGTTATATATTTAAGTTGGTGCAAAAGTAATTGCAAGTTTTGCCGTTGGAAGGAATGGCAAAACCACAATTACTTTTGCACCAACCTAATAATTTGCTGTAAGTCCTACATTTAGTATCAGGCTAGAGACTGAATCTGAACTCAACTCTGTCCAACTCCAAAATTCATGTGCTTTTTCCTTCTAGGCCTTTCATACCAAACTAATAGTAGTTTCTATTCTCTTCCAACAAATGCATGTTGGATTAAATTGACTAGAATGGAATCTGGAATGTAATTCTTCTGGATGGCTCCAAAACACGTTTTTCTTCCCCTGTCTTCCTCCTCCTCTTCATGCTCAGTGTTTTATATATGTAGTATACAGTTAAAATATGCTTGTTCCTGATACTGGTAGCTTATGTTTTCTCTCTTTTTTCATGGATTAACCTTGCTTGAGGGCTTTAACAATTGTATTACTTTTTCAAAGAACCAAGCTTTAGCTTCATTGATTTTTTTCTATTTAATTGGGTTTTGCTCTCCCTTTATCATTGGAAACATAGAAATGCTTTCTAATTTCTTTGGGTAGATTTATTTATTCAGCTTCTTGAGATGGAAGTTTAGATCATTGATCCTGCAGCTTGTTTTCTTTTTGTATACATAGATTTTAGGACGATACATTTTCCCTTGAGCTCTGCTTTAGCTGCCGCTCTTATGTTTTGATATGCCTCTCTTTATTATCCTTCAGTTAAAAATATCTTTCAGTGCATTGTTATATAGAAATATGTGCTTAGTTTTTAACGTCTGGAGATTTTCTAGTTTTGAAAAAAACAAGCCAGGCATGGTGGCTCACACCTGTATCCCCAGCATTTTGGGAGGCCGAGGCAGGAGGATCACCTGAACTCAGGAGTTTTTACACCAGCCTGAGCAAAACAGTAAGACATTATTTCTTTAAAAAAAATTACCTGGCTATGGTGTTGTGCACCTGTAGTCCCAGCTACTCCAGAGCCTGAGGTGGGAGGATTGCTTGAGCTTGGGAGGTTGAGGCTGCAGTGAGCTGTGATCACACCACTGCACTCTGGCCTGGGTGACAGAGTGAGACCCGGTCTCAAAAAAACCAAAAATAAATAAAATAAACCATATGTGTGGAATAAAGAATTAATAAGTTAATTTGAGACTCCTTCGGGGAATGACCACAATTTATTGAACATAGCCTAAATGTTGGAGTCAGGCATTTCTGGATTCATATTTTGACATCATGCTGTCATCTTGACCAAAATACCTAAACTTTCTGACCTTCAGCTTCCTTGCCACTCAAATAAGGATTACAAAACTTTCCCCTGTTAAAATGTGGTAAGTATTAAAGATGACAGCAAAAATGGAGTCCAACACAGAGCTTCCTAAATAAGCAAGCACTCAACAGTGCTGCTTCCTTTCTACCTCCCCTGCTTGACAATCCAGTTTCCCACAGGAGCCTTTGTAGCTGTAGCCACCATGATCGGTCCAGGGGTTCTTCAATAGCCCCTTCTCCCCTTGCAGAAATCCTCGTGGGAGTTTAGTCTCGGCTCGACATGAGGATGGGAGTTTGGGATCAGTTCTGAGTGAGATTCAGACTTGCCCAAAGTTGCCATTAGCTCCCCCTGCAGAATGTCTTCAGAAATGGGGCCTGGTCAGTCTACCTGGTGACCTGGCAGTTTTCCTCTTAAGACCTTTTCCACTTTGGTTGCTGCTTTCTGGGCTCATCGTGTCCTTGTTCAACAGGATACCCCTTGAAGTGGCTGCCTGGGTCACATCCCCTTCCAAACAAGAAATGGAAATATTAGAAATCAATTTTTGAAATTTCCCCTAAGAAGACTCATTTGAGTGTTCAAGTTCAGAGCCAGTGGAGACCTTAGGGGAGGCTGGTCACAAGGTTTTTGCACCGTGCTGTAGAGGGCCCCAGGGAGCTACAGAGGTGGTGAGGGGCTGGGTGCTCTTTTCTCCGTGCAGGACCTTGTATGTCTATCTTCATTATCATGATGCCTCATCTCTACCTCCTTTCCCCCTGTAGTTCCAATGTGGGTATCTTTGCCATCTCTGACCCGAAGGACTTTCTGACCTACATGTATAAATACCCCCTCACAATATGTATTACTCTTCTTATAAGTGACTTCTCCACTGGATTACTGGTTGCTCATACACCTATTTTACTTGTAAATCTACTACTCACTGTCTCCCTACTCCATTCTCATTTGCTGTAGAAAATTCTGTTACCATCCTAACTTTCACCCACCATCATGCTTACCCAAAGGCTGTGGGAATGACCTGGGCCCTAATGCCCCTTTTCTAAGTTCCTAAGGCTCACCATTTTCCTATTGTAATGGTTCTTGACCTTATAATGTTTGAGGCATATTTTCAAATATAGTCCTTTGATTTCAGATGGAATACTTGAAAAGACACACACACACACACACACACACACACACATAAGTGCATATGACTGTATATACAAACATACACACACGTGCCTGTATACAGCCGTATGATATATATACAAACACACGCACACACATGCCTGTATACATCTTCTGTCACTTAACAATGGGAATATGTTCTGAGAAATGCATCATTAGATGATTTTGTCATTATGTGAACATCATAAGAGTGTACTTACACGAACCTCGATGGTATAGCCTACTACACACCCAGGCTACATGGTGTCACCTATTGCTTCTAGGTTACAAACCTATACAGCATGTGACTGTACTAAATACTGTGGGCAATTTTAACCCAATGGTAAATGTTTGTGTATCTAAACATAGAAAAGGTGCAGTAAACATGCAGTATTATAATCTTATGAGACCATCATCATATATGTGGTCCATCATTTGGTCCATCATTGGCTGAAAAGTGGTTATGCGGCACATGACTGTATATGTACTTTCCTGTTACAAAAACAGTGTCTCTCAATCCACAGTAATTGCAGTGTTCAGTAGGTCTACTTTAGCCCTGAGTCATCATTTGTGTCAACGTGTTTAATGCCATGTCCAGGTCTCTCATGTCACTGGAAGAGCTATCAAATATTTTGGCAAAACACATTGTTTCTTTGGCTTTGTCTTGGCAACTTTCTGTGCCTTTTGTAGCTCTTGTCTGGAAGAAGCTCAACCCTTGTCTGCACACTGTGATACAAGGGGGACAGCCTCGACTTACTTCTTGGTGCCTTAGTCCTCCTTAGGACAATTCCTAAATCTGTAACTTAAGTTTCTCAGGAAGATTCCATACTGCACAGAAAAACTGCTTTTGTGGGTTTTTAAAAGGCAAGTCGTTATATGTGCTGGATAATTTTTATGTATGACAGATAAAAATTGTATAAAGTAAAATATTAAAGTACACCTAGAATACTGTATAACTTTGGGTCATTTTATCAACACATTGCTAATCCAGATATTTTCCCACAGTTTTTCTTAGAATAACAAAGCAATTAATTTACTTATACTATGAAGGTCATCATTTTAATATATATTTTAAGCAATCCACCAAGAACTCAGTAGGCAGCTGAGAGGTGCTGCCCAGAGAGGTGGTGATTAGCTTGGCCTTAGCTCACACACACAAAGCACAACAGACTTTGAATTATCGCCTAACAGGGCATTTACTGTTGAACTTAGTTCAGAGAGGCACACATTGCCATTCTCTAATCAGAATGCAAGTAGCACAAGGCAGTGGAAACTATGGAATTAAGAGGCAGGTGATGCATTGGGCAAGTTTATTAACATCTGTGACTCTTTAGTTTGAAATATATTTGTAACAGACAAAAATGAATTATACAAACAATCAAAGTATAATAAAGAGCCATGTTGAATAATTCTTTTAAAAGGAGTTGTGTCTGGGCTTGAAAGAATTAAGGGACATATTCAGTGGGTGGCACACTGCTGAAGACAACAGGACTTCCCACCTACCGCACCCCACGATTGAGTGAGTTAGGTAGCTGGGGAAAGGATGGGTCACTGTCCTGGTGTGTCTCACTGGTGGAATAAGTGGAAATAGATGCCAACAAGAGTCCAGTGCTGCTGTCTACAAAGACCTGAAAGTCCTTACTCACACCTCTTTATTCTTCAACACATTGAGGAAGAATGTTGTTTGCTTTTCAGTAGGAGTCTCACATTCGAGAATCACATGACACATCTTTTATTCTCTGTGAAAGAGACTCACCTTGAGATCTCGCAGGATTTAACATAATGACAAAATGTGTGATTCTTTTTTTTCAGACTTTTATTTTAAGTTCAGGCATACAGGTGCAGGCTTGTTACATAGGTAAACTTGTGTCATGGGGGTTTGTCATACAGATTATTTCATCACGCAGGTATTAAGCCTAGTACCCATTAGTTATTCTTCCTGATCCTCCCCCTCCTCACACCCTCCATCCTCAAATAAGCCCCAGTGCTTGTTGTTCCTCGCAGTGTGTCCAAGTGTTCTCATCATTTAGTGCCCACGTATAAGTGAGAACATGAGGAATCTGGTTTTCTGTTCCTGTGTTAGTTTGCTAAGGATAACGGCCTTCAGCCCCATCCATGTCCCTGCAAAGGACACGATCTTGTGTGTGATTCTTAATAAGTGACATAAACATGAAACAACACTTAAAAGACTTGATGCAAAAGACCTGGCAGGGTGGCTTGTGCCTGTCATCCCAACATTTTGGGAGATCGAGAAGGGAGGATTGCTTGAGCCCAGGAGTTTGAGACCAGCCCGGGCAACCTGTTGAGATCTCATCTCTGAAAAAAACTAAACAAAAATTAACCAGGCATGGTGGCATATTCCTGTATTCCCAACTACCTGAGAGGCTGAGGTGAGAGGATTGCTTGAGCCCAGGAGGTCAAGGCTGAGGTGAGAGGATTGCCTGAGCCCAGGAGGTCAAGGCTGCAGTGAGCTGACATTGTACGACTGCACTCCAGCCTGGACAATAGATATTTAGATGCTGTCTCAAAACAAACGAACAAAACAGAAACAAAACAAAAAAAACTTGATGCAAAATGCCGACCTGCAGAAAAGAGAAAACCATTGTTTATTGTGAAAGGCACTTCACACATTGTATCAGCCGGTGATCTCAGCTGTAACAACAGAGCATCACTCTGGCTGTGTATTAGGGTTCTCGAGAGGGACAGAGCTAAAGATAGATGTATATATGAAAGGGAGTTTATTAAGGTGTATTGACTCACATGATCACAAGGTGAAGTCCCACAACAGGCTGTCTGCAAGCTGAGGAGCAAGGAAACCAGTCCGAGTCCCAAAATCTCAAAAGTAGGGAAGCCAACAGTGCAGCCTTCAGTCTGTGGCCAAAGGCCTGAGAGCCCCTGGCAAACTACTGGTGTAAGTCCATGAGTCCAAAAGCTGAAGAATTTGAAGTCCGATGTTTGGGGGCAGGAAGCATCCGGCATGGGAGAAAGTT